TTATAACTGGAGTCCAAGGCACTAACCACCTGAGGACTACATCATCCAAAAATAACCTAAAAGTTTGCTCTTCATTTCACTTCTTTTGTAGTTTGGACGTTTATTTTTGGATACATTCCTTAAGTTAGGAATGCCAGTACTGGATTTAATGTTCAGGACACACAAGGTTAGTGTGAATCAACAAATTGAACCCCCTCTCAAAACCCTGCCCTTTCATTTTATGTATTACTAAGTAGTAGTGGAACACAGTCTTGATCTGAAATCAATTTAAACATTTACTTTATTATTTACTTTGTTGTGTGCCCTCAAAAGTTTGATTAAAACTGGAAAGAAAACAGTAATTAAAAGCAGTGTGAATAGATCCTAGTACAATAGGTGCTAAGAAATTTCTGGAAAATAGTGAGAAGTTACTGCTAGGTTTTTTGTGACAAAAAATGACATCTCTTTTTAGTTTCTTACCTTAACTTTTTCTTCCCAAAAGGATGATATTAATGGAATGTTGAAAAACTTGCAACAGAGCACAAGATCTCTTCAACACATTTGTGGACACAGCAAGGTCAGTTTATCCTAAACATGTGCTTTATGGAGCGTTCTCCCATATTTTAAGCCAGACAAGTAAAATAACTTTTCAGACCTGTAGTGCAATTCTTTTACCTGTTGAATTTTCAACATTTCCAAGCAAGTTTAGGCAGTAATAAGAGGTACTACAGGTGATAACTTTAACTGGTGAGGACTTCAAAAGGAGAGCAAGATACAACATTGTCAAGAACATACCAACACATGTTTCCCTTGAAATCAGCTTCTTAATAATCTAGAAATTCAGCACTTATGTCTACAGGTCAACTAATGAGCTGAGCATGTAAGACCACTGTTTTTGCTAATAAAACAAAGATCATAATCACAGGTTTCTGGTACCTTATTCATGTGTTTCCAGTCTTTTGGTATAACACAATAACAACAAAATTATTGTATACAGTTTCTGACACCTTATCTGATGATACTGTTTCTTTTTATTTCAGGTAACAAAAGATCTCTCCCTCACTAATCATGTCCCAGCAGTCAAGAAGTGTCTGGAGACATTTGTCTTTAGAGTTAAGGTGCATATATTTAAGTTTGTTAAAATTTAAAACTGCAAAGTTCTAACTCTTCAATATTAGGTGGGAACCTTCCATTTCTGGCAGTCATTTTCAGCATCCTTTTCTCAGTCAATACATTCTGCATTTGAACCCTAAGTGGATCATGTGTTCCTGTAGTAAGAAACTTATCTCTCACAGTACATCTCTCCACCCAGGAGTATAAATGGGTGCCAGCAATCTGTCAGGGAAACCCAACGAAATGCCAGGAGGTAGCCTGCATTAGGCAGCATTCCTACCAAGAGTTGTAGCATAACACTCGTTGTGGCTTTTTCTGGAAGAATTAGGGTTGTAAATCAGCCTGTAATGGGGCTCTAGGTCTGAGATTTAAAGAATGTTGAACATTGTGTAAAGAGGTGAATGTATAAAGTCAAATACTCACAGTTCTATGAATGACTGACTTTAGCTTCTGTATTGTTTTTCTTGGATTGCAGGCAATGCTTACACTAAACAAATGCCATGAGGCTTTCTGGGTCGGGACGCTCAAGAACAGAGACATACATGGGCAAGAGATCATGTCGCAGCAGTCTGTGGGAGAAGAACCCACAGAAGAGGAGGAGGGGGAGGAAGAAGGTGAAGAAATGGAAGAGGATGATGATGATGATGATGATGCTGACAAAGACAATGTAAGTTCACTTCCATGATTCAATAACTGTCACACTCAGGAAACCAAAAACACCAGAAATATTTATGGAATTTTGTGGAGTTCTGATTAGAGATGACATGGTGGCCTGGTACTCAGTGTGCTGGACTGGACTGGACTCTAGGTCAAGGATTTCCAGATTGGAGACTTAGACAAGTTATTGTGTTTTGTTTTTTACTCTCACAGTGCCTTGTCTTTGTTTTTAGGGAGATGAAGGTGCAAGTAATGATGGAGAATCAAGACATGATGGTGCAGAGTCATACAGTGAAAGTTTCTAACCATGATCAGCATTATAATGAATTCGGTTTTGAGATGGTTGATAACACAGTCAACTGCCATCATCAATGTGTTTAACGAACTGTACATTCATGTCTAAGTTACCAATGACAATTTGAACTGGCATAATCAAAAACTGAAAATCAGTTCAAATTTTATTTCTCATTTTAGAATTCAAAGGCAAGTATTGGTGTTGCTTTTATGATTGCCAAACACCATAAATAAATAATTTTGCTCTGATGAAGGGCTAACATGGTGGCCAGTTTACATTATCAACTCAGTTGATAAAACCTAATTAGTTTGAAATACCCACAGCTTCTTTAGAAACTCACCCTCTTTATTCAAACACTAAATAGATAACTTATTTTGGGGCAATATGTATTTGGTTGTTGCTGCAATGACTGCCATCAAGGCATAACACTTGTTCATCATCTTAATGGTAAACCCTGATAATCGGTTAATCACTTGTTATGAAATAGGTGGAACCCTTCTTACAGAGATCACTCTTGCCCATCTTTCTACAGCCTCTGACTGATCAAAATACAATGGCTGATATCTCTTGGTGCTATTGAATAGCTAACAGTACAGCAGAAAATGTTATTTATGAGCCTTTTCTTCATGTGACTGTGTATATCACTAATATTATGTGCATATTATCTTGAATACATCCTATTCCACTCTACACAGTCTGCATATCTGACTCCATTTCCACCAAACAAATCCAGAGCACTGTTAAGAAAAAAATACAGAGTGATTTAACATCAAGCAGTTATGTACTTTGAAAAAGAAATCCATTGAATAATCATTTCACCCTCTTTATACTGAGAAGAGCTTGAGTTGGTGACGAATTTCTTTATTCCCTTATGGGTTAAAGAGCTAAAACCCAATGAGAACATAAATCTTGCTCTGAATGTTAAAATCCTATCTTCTACTTCAAGGAAAGTATTTTCCATGCAGTGAATGAACATTCTCTCCTCTCGGTATCAGACAAGCCAACTTTCAATTCAATCTCATAGGGAAAACTGAATCGCAGATTATTTCCCTTATCTGGGCATATTGTGACACTACTGGGTCTCATTAAGAGGAGAAAATTAATGACTCATTTACCTTCCAAAAGTTAAGTCCACCTTTCCACCTGATAGCCTGTTCACCAATTCCAAATCACTGATGTCTATAGATGGGTGAAATCAATTAAAGAGGTTCTCAGGTGGACAATACAGAATAATCATACTTAAACCTTTTGTTGCAAGTGCACAAATTCCGATGCAAATGATCTTCAATATCTGTAGACAAATAGCAAAATCTCTTTGTTTCAATAATAAAAATTTAGGACTACAACCAATCATGGGAGTCATAGGAAGAAGGTATTCCCTACCATCCTTTCTCCATACACCTTTATTTCTTTCAGGATAACGCTTTATTTTCAGTGGCTAAAAGATCGAGGCTTGCTGCAAACTTTCAGCCTGGTCTTTTTTAAGCATCTACCTTGCTAATAAGAATCCCTTCAAAAAGGTTCAAATTTCTAACCTTTCCCACCTCCAGCATAAGTGCAAGGTATTGGAGACCACTGACCAAGAGCTGTAAGAAAAAAAAGTAAAGGAAATGAGCAAGAATGACAGACTGCACAAAAGTTAAAGGTTTTTAAGCAATTCATGAACTTTAAATTCCCCATCTTTTACACCAAAAAGAATTTGTACCTTTTACAAGATCTTCATCAATTCCTTTACAAAGGCCCTTCAATAGAAATAAGGAATTAAATTGTAAAAATTCCACTTTTAAGTAAAAATTAGCTTCTTGTGTCATTGCTAACGATGGCTGATTTTTAATATTTATTTATCAACCCTCTACACCTTAAAATTAAAATTTAAGTTCTCCATTCTGTTCTCTTTACATTTCCTGAGGTGCTGACAAGGGGAATTTGTTTAACAATCAAGAGCTTCTTAAGTTGGTGATCATCTCCTTGATTCTCATGACTTTAAAATTTGATTCAGGGATGAGACCATAAGGACAAATAAGATACTAATCACTCATAGGGGTCAACAGGGGCAGTTTTTTGTTAACTTTTTCTTTATTCTTTATGTAAATCACTGATAGTGAAAATTATCAAACACAACACTCTTACCTCAACATCAGCAGCATGTACAAGAAACTCTGATGCAAATTGAGACATCTGGTGTAATATTTCTGAAAATGATAGTCAATTTGAAACCAAGAGGATCTTAGTATGGATGAGCAGTACATATGAGGTTATGGACATATCAGAAATGGCATCTTTTGATCCACTATTGGAAAGTCTGTTTGTTAACTTTGACCCTTTGGGAAACAAGGGTGCAGACAAGTTATGAACTTGATCTCACTGTACACTGAGAATACCTAGCTCACCTTTGGATATTTCTAAACTGGTAACTGTTTGCCACTTGTTCATGGCAACAAACCAAGAATTCTTTTGACGACGACAACTTAGATCAATGACCAGTTGTTCTTTGCCAATTAAACTGCTTAACTGATGGAGTCTTTCCATAGAAAATTCACCAGAAGGAAAGAGCCATGATGTCACAATGACCTGGAATTATAACATAAAAGTCATTTGGCAATTATCTACTGATATGACTAACAGTTTACTGTGGTAGCAGGGATAACAGTAGCTTGCCTTACACACCGCGATATCAGTAGTACTGTTCCACCACTGAGCTGGCTTTGGTGGCAGATCCAGACCTAGAGCTAAGGGGGGGGACCCTGTTTTTTGTCGCTTGCCCTGCTGGCTTTTCTTCCTTCTGCGATTCTTTTTTTTTATTTACCCAAAATAAGGGGGAGCCCAGGCCCCTCCCCTAGATCTACCACTGGGTTTCTTGTGAGTCTTCTCACCACAAGGAATAGCTGTCTATTTCACGATAATCTTCCATTACCTTAGAAGCTCCTTTATCAAGCCATGATATTGCATTATCAATGGTTATTCCCCCTCCAATCTGAAGACCATCAGGCCAAGCTGCCAAGGCTTCCTCTGCAGCAGCATCATTACCAGGACCCAGTTTGATCACATGACCTCCAGTAAGGTTGTCTTTTTGGTACAGTGAGGCAAAGTAACCTGGCCTATGACTGTAAAATATTAGATGCAAATGTCTAAGCTAAAAAAATCTACTGACAAACTGTGTCTCTTATAAAAATCTTATGTCAAGGGTTTTTCAGCCACATCAGAACAGTCTGCCTTTCCACACATTGAAGGCAATATACCTACATCTAAACTCTCCTTAATGCCCTACATAACAGTTGGGCTAGTTCTGGACAGGAGATTCTAGATTTTGGTCAAAAGATTTCATCCCTGCTGAGATTTTATCCAAATCTTGATTGTAATTTACTTTAAGTAACAGGAGACTGGCATTGGGAAGTATATAAAATTACAAGATCTGACTGTTAAACCTCCCCTCTGGCCACTACACATTTCCTTATAAATAAATTATGAGAATTTGGTGTTAGATCAAGGTAACAACTTCTACCAGATAAGTTTGTACATTCTCATCACCTGTTTGCTGAGTAATGTATGGATATAATAAGGAGATGTAACATGTTAATCACTTCTGGAAGTGAAAGGTCAATGTATTCATGTTTGAACTGGTTGGGAGATACTGGATCTTGGTCACCAGATCTCATTCTCACCAAGATATGATCCCGATCTTGATTTTAATAGATTTCAGGCGACAGAAGACGTGAATTGGATTGAAAACAACATTTTATCTATCTCAGATTTCTTCAACATTTACCTGGCAATAAAATTCGTTTGGAGATGCCCCTCGTTGTCTGTCAAAGTGCCACCGACAATCTGACTAGAACCCAAGAATGGTGAGAAATTTACCTTTAGTTAAATCAAAATGCACTGTTCCTGGAAACAAACCTGTTTAACTTTTCCATCGTGTAGATCGATACACGGTCTAAATTGGGTTACTTTTTGATGATCGTCCGCCATTTTACGTTTTGAACCGACTGGACATTTCATGTATTTTTCATATAATATCAATAAGAACCAATTTTGCAGCTGGCTCTAAGAGGTGCAGGCTTAACTTTAGAGCAGAATGGAACATCAAGATGGCGGCCGACACGAGTGAAAGTACTGCTGAAAAACTAACGTTTACGTGCGCATCATGTGGTTTTGAATGTAATTATGAATATTTTGGGAAAAAGCCGCCTTTCTCCAAATCAGTGGTGTACGTATATTATTTTTTTGTCCGTGGTTTTTTATTTTTTTGTTGCCGAACGTTATTTCCGCGTGTCACGACGCAATTTGCGCGCTCCCTTACGCGCCAATCAATTCGAAGCTTCAAAAACCCCTCAGGGAAACCCCAAGAGCTTTCAAGCTGATTTTCCTGACTATCAGCATGTTGAATGACTATCAGCCGACATAGTGATTAAGGCTACAGATAGAAAGTGGCATTCTTTTCCTTTGATAACAATAACTTTCTTCACCTCTGTTTTATGACAGACTTCTGGAAGATGCATTTGTTATTCGAGATCCTTTCTCACCAAATGCTGGGCATTTAACATTAGGTGGACGGTGCTGCTTGTGTACAAGACACATTTGCATTTCACAGGTATATGCGCATATTTCAATGATATTGGTTGACTCTGCATAATTTCAACTTTTCTTCCTTCCCATCCTATCCTTCCCTATCCCCTCAGACGTGGAGGGAAGGGGGAAGGGCTTCATCCTCTTTCACTCCCATGAGTGACCAGGACAGAATTTCTCCTAACAACATCAGTACAAAATCAAGCACAGTAGTGATGAGAAGAAAGTTAAATATCAATCAGGGGATTATTAGTTGATCCAAGACCAAATTCTCCAAACTAACATTATAAGAATTGTATTGCAGACGGTAATGGGAATTACTATTGAGATCATGGGGTGAAAGGGTTAAGTGTTTATAGAAGAAAGCTTTGTAGGGTGGAGAGCTTCAGAAGGGCATAATTTATAGAGCTATGTTCAGGCCCCTGCATTGTCATCCCCGATCACAGTTGAACCTCAATTAAAATGGAACTGTGGGGACTGGGCTGATAAAAAAATATGATTATTAATGGGCCAAAATAAAACTGAATATGTATAATTTGATGAATTTTGTGTGAATATTAGAGGACAGTCTCAAATAACTGTGCATCACTTTTAAAAATTTGCCAAAGTATTTACAAATGCAGTTTGCTTCAAGCTACTCCACATGTGCAATTCTACTATTCTTTGAACCTGCATTAATGTAGTTGCATCAACATTATTTTAGTTCTGCTTTCTCTAATTGGAAAAAGTTGATTGAAGGTCAACTGTAGAAGGTTGTGGAGTCATGGTGAGTGGGAGATTTAGCCATAACACACCCCCCCCCCTCCCCGACTGGTAAGCTGGACATTATATTGGCCTCTTACTTGAGAGGTTTAAGCTCAAGCCCTGTTTCCCTGTTCCCCAGTCGAGAAGTCGAGAGGGGGTGTAAGGGGGGGGGGGGGAATACAGGGGAAAAGATTCAGTCCTAGGTGTTAATGCCTAAGGGTAGAGTAGAAATTTTTGTTAACTCTTATCTGCTGGATAACAATTTATTAGTAGAACGAGCATGCTAAGCAGCATCTGCCACTTTGTGTATAAGCTTATTCTGCACTCTCTTTTGTCCTGCAGGGAATTTCAATCCCTTTGAAGGGAATGCATTTTTGTACTTAGCTAACTAACTGTTCTTTTTACTTATTGATGGGGTGAAGCAATATAAGCATGCTGTTAAGAGCAATGCACATTGGTGCATTGCTGTAGAAGGTGGACTTTGAACTCTGATGATTCACAGTTCAGTGAATGTTTCATGTAGTTAGGAGATGGACTCTATATTTATTTGCAGTCTTCATGTTTTAGCACTCTTGGCTTGTTGTGCTCTGCTTAAAGAGACGCTGGGAATTTATACTCAAGTTTGGTTCCCTCAGAGTTTATGTAACCAAATACTGTTTAGGAGTATCTTGTAATTGCTTGCAAGCTGACAATTTTTAAAAACTGAAAACTGTTTCTATTTCTTATCAGACATGCAGTATTTTCTACACTGAGCGGTTCTGTATTTCGTGTGTTCAGAGGAACAAAGAAGAATTTCCAGATGAAATACTCAAGGTAAGTTGTGATGTTTACAGCCTAATATCCATTCCCTACTTAGTTAAGAGAATTGTATTTCAGTGCCAAAGTAACGCCCCCTGCTGATAAACTACGACTCTAGCTTTTTTAGCAATGAATCGATGTTTAGGAGAACTTTTGTGTAAATTACTTTGTTTGTTAAAAAGCTTAAACTTTGCCTTTACTGAATAGAGTCTGAAAATTTCCGGAAGAGTGCATATTTACAAGTATCGTCGTTACATGAGAGGTTCCCCTTACACATTTGGATCAACTGTCTTAAAATGTTATCCATTTTGATTGCTGGTCAGTTGTTTGAATTTGGACTGAATTGGAAATTTTCTTGGTCACTTTAAGTTTAAGGTGAACTTGTGCACGATCTCCCTAAATGGAAAGTAGATAGCAGAAAGTTTTGAAAGTTCCAAACTCATTTAAGAGCGCCAACGGGCAAGTGGTTAATGCCAAGGTTAAACGTTTAACAAGCTACGTTATTGACCCTCAAGAAACTGAAATGCAAAAACATACGAGTGACGTCTTCAAGATACAGAAAAAGTAACATTACCTTATGGGACGAGGAACATAAACAGAAATAATTTAACTGAAGCGATAGAATTTTCAAAGAATCGTGTGGCTTGGTAAATACTTTGAATTATTTATTATTGATATGCTCAATAACAATCTCTGACTTTCTTAACCTCGATTTGGCGTTACAAGAATTAAAAATTAAATTTTTAATAAATAATGGTTCCTCGGCTATTTGACCATTTTTCAGTACGATGAGCTTTGAGCAGGCTCTCTTCCCCCATCTTTCCCTCCTCTGATGGAGGGCATATTAAAGGTCTTACTTGGGAAAATCATAGTCGTAATTGAAACGATGAAACCTAATTTCAATCTAAAAAAAACCAAATGCAAACATTTTTAAGGGCACAGGTTTTAACTTAGTTCGTAGGGGTTGCCAGGACGAAGATATCATAGGCAGTCTAAAGTACGTTTTCAACGTTGTAGACTCCGTGGGTCAAATCCCCATGTTTTGAAGATCGCCAAAAATGAGGCGCTGAAGCTAAGACGTGTCTCGTGATTTGCGTGTGCTCCCCAGAATAGTAATACCGGTACATATTTCACATGTGCGTGACGTAGGGATCACCTCTCGCGCTGTGATTTATCCATCGCACGTTTCAAGTCACGCTCCGTACTTAGCTATGCTCACGGCTTACGTCACTATTATCAGCGCGCGAAAATCATGGGTTAATAGACCTGTCTCTCGTGCATTCTGAGTTATATAATAAATTGGGAATTTTAAACATATCCGAGGCTTGACACGTGTTGGAGAACGATAAACTTCTTTATAATTCTCGCGTGTTTACATCTCAAGCAGCACTGACTGATGGACTAGTATTCGTCAAAACATTGCATCAGATTTTTTTATTTTTGGCGGGAAAGATGGGGACCTTCTGGAGAGGGGCATAGTACACTTATCTTGTTCGCACGCGCAGCCAGAGGATTCGCTGCTGGAGTCACACGTGTTTCGTGACGCAGTAGTTGACAGGGTCAAGGTTGTTCATTGTTACACGTGGACTTGTGAAATGTGGTTCAATGCTAGGAAGTTGAAGTTCACACGGCCAAAATAAACGCGCGCAGATCATGAGGGTATGATATAACGGACCTGAATAATGCAAAATTGCCCCGTGAGCATTTTGTTACATAAGTTATTGGAAAAATCAATATATTTATGATAAGAAGAGAACACCAGAAATTTTAAAAACCCGTCGTAGAAGTTCTCTGATCTCCAAGTGTGTAACACTTGTGTAATTCAATCCTTTCCTAGGGATGGTTTACTGCGTATCCATGTCGCTAAGTTTTTTACTTTCGTTCTTCGCAATCCATACTACGCTTATGTCACCGTTTTTTTTCTCGATCCTTTAAATTTAATTTTACGGGTTTGATTTTTGGGTTATCGGCCTGAAAAACAATCATTTCTAGGGTTTTTTTGTTTTAATGTAGAGGCAATGCTGAATTCGAACATGGCTAAAGTCTTGGACACGACGAAATTAAATCAAATTTACCCAATTTTTCCCGACCATTTCCAACTATCAGAAATGGTGACGATTTCAAGTTCCATTAAGGTTTGCAAAATTTGAAGCGATCGCGAAGGAGTGAAATTCTCGATCGTCTTTTATTTTTCTTTTCCGAACATTCGAAGACCAGACTTTGTGATAGAAAGTTTAGTCATGTCCAGGCTTACAACTGCTAACTTCCACATTAAAGTATTTCTTAAGGTTTTTTTTAAACCCCTTTCAATAATTGTACCGTATTGTAGCATTCTTCGTCGTAAATATTTTTTTCTTCTCATAACGCTGGTCATGGCTGAAGAGGCGAGTTCAGTGTCGCGAATAATGGCGCAGGTTATGACCATCCTTACAAGTCTCGGGATCAAGAGGTCTGGGTTCGACCATTTCCCGGTCATGGTGGTTTTTTTTT